TTATAAAACTTATTAATAATGCATGAGCTATTACTCCAATAAGGGTTGTCCATTTCATCAGGTGATTGACCTTGTAAATCAGATACAACACTGTGATACAACACTAGTGTTGTATAAGATTTACAACACGGTCGTCACCTTGAGACAACCCAACACTAGCAAAGGTCTCAGTTTTAGTGTCGCATCATAGACCTTCACTAGGTTTTGAAGCAATCAAAGACGGATAACAGAACTGGCTTATGCAACAGATGGCTTGCTTTCCATGTGGGATGGATAATTATTCAAAATGTTCTGTGTTGCAGTAAATTGCGCATGCTTAATAGCGACTCAACTCAGCAGTTTCCTTAATTGCCATTTTTTGTCATTTATCTCACTGTAATTCATGTTAATTTGTGTTGGAGTTTTATAAGTCGTTTACAACATTCGCGTCCGTGTTGTATGGGAATTACAATCTCTCGCCTGCGGCTCGAGATTGTAATTTCCCATACAACACGGCCGCTCATGTTGTAAACATTACTTAACTTGACATTAGCTGAGAAGCTTTTAATTCCTTTAGGAGTTATAATTTAGTGATTCGAGTCCCACTTTTCGAGATGGCGGACGCATTGTTCTCCGAAAGTACTAATGCATGTATGCTCGACTATATGAGCCGCAACCGATTTGAACCTTTTTGCTCATTCAGGAACGGTTCTAAAATGTCGATTATCACCGTCGGATTTATAAATAATAATAGTAATATTTAAGCTTTAGAAAAATTAGGGGGTTAAAATTCGATTTCTTAATCAAGGTTGCGCACCTTCAAAAGACTTTCTGAACTCTTGTCACCACCTTGGGTAACACAACGTGTCCGTACTCCTTCACGCATACCAATACTGTAATATTACCGCAATATTTGAAAAGAGTGGAAAATTTGCTAGATTTTGATATATAATTTGCCTATCACTTTCAAAAAAAGTGCAAAGTATAATGAAAGCTGGAGCTATTTCATTTTTTATGATTTTGCTGTTCGTCGGAATATTCAAATGATTCTCCGTTCCATTGCAATATCAACATGTAAGTATAAACAAATTATAAATTTACAAATTTGATTCCTTTTTTTACTCGAAACGAGTTGAGACAATAAAATTGTATTATTTAAAACTGTGAGGGTCTATTGCAGGCCCTTCCTTTTTCTCCTTCCCATTCTCCGCTAGGCCCTCCCCAATCCCCTTAGGGACGGTACGCAGGCTACTCATGAATTATTTATAAAGCAGGATAGCTCTCACTAGTCTAGACGAAAATAAGTATGTGGCACGCCATAGATAATGACATACGTATATTTTGTTCGTTTCTTTTAAGATTATCGACCTTGAGGACAAAGAAGAAAGGCTACGGCTTCTTACAGGTATTACATTTGTTCAGTTAATAAACAAGAGACCTTTTTGAATGACCGTGAGCGAAGAGCTGTACTGTGGTGCCGTAACTTGCAGCCTCGTAACAGGCTACACACTCATTTGTAACAAAATTCTTATCGCTTCAGTTGTGAAATAAGATAAATTTTACAGCACTTGCCAATTTCTTATGACAACAATCAGTCGATTTAACGAGATCGTTTTAACGTCACTTATCACAACCAAAGCACTGAATAAGGCTTAAAGATTCACTTCCTTTATTTTTTCTTTTGGGGCATGACCTAAACATTGGGAAAGTTGATGAAAATCAAAATGGTCAAATAACGGCGCTCACTATCCATCAAATAGATTCCCAAATACAGAATATTTTCCCAAGCAAATACCATGGACTTCAATTCTTACCTTGCGAAGAAAGTTTCCTCTTAACTCTTCTCTGATGCCAGCAGAGTACAATTTTCCGAGTCTAATTATTTCTTGATTGGACAGAAAAGAGTCTTTATATATATATTATAATCCTTGTTGACGTTATCAGATTAATTTGATTTCCTTTTTATTTTCAGCAAACCTTGATCGAGACCAAAAGCATAATTTGTTTCAGCAAGAACAATCAAAGAAGGTATGTAATAATTTTAATGCATTAACAAATTCCTCAATTCTTTGAATCCAGTAAACACACGGAGCACTAAGAACCTCTTGGCAGAAATTTGCCATTTTATCCCATAAACCAAATCCTGGGGCCAATACGCGATCCTAAGCCTCTTTCAGCATACAAAACATTTCTTAACATAGTGCAGCAGACTATTGGCTGCATAAAGGCAGCACTAAAAGCTTACTTTCCCCATAATCGGTAAGTTGACTTGCATGCGTCATGCATGTATACCGAGAATCGTCGTTTTGTCGTATCTTATAGAGATAGAAATCAGGGATCTGTTATCTCTTAGATCGTCCTTTCAAGATAATCAGCAAATACGAAGAGATAACCAAAACGTAGTCAGCTCACTGTCAACAAAGATTTAGATTTTTAGTTGATATCTTTAAAATTTAGGTTAGGGTTTCACCTAGCCCAGTGTTAGTGTTAGGTTTGGAGTAAGGGGTTTGGGTTAGGGTTAATCACGTGACCAGATTCCCAAACTCAAACTTTAGACCATGCCTGTGATCTGTACTGACCTTTGACCAAGTTCCAATATCTTTACCTTTTGGGCTATGCATAAGTATGAAGATCACCACCCTCAATACTTCCGATTTTTCGTTTTGGGATAAAAGCCTAAAATGTTGTATTTCAAGAGTACTACCCTCGTATCTCTGAACTGTGTGATTGCATTTTGTTAAATGCTGTGGGTCTGATCACATCCATTAAAAGCACTCCTCCAGATAGTTTTGAGTTGAAATAGCTATTACACTGTGATAAAGTTAAAAAAAGAAGGTTTATAAGTGCTCGAGTCGAGAATCGAACCTGTGATCCTCAGTTCGAAGCCGTCATTCAAATATAATTTGGTGTGTAAAATTAAGAAAATATCTACAAAATAAACATGACTAGAACAACTATATTTCAAAAAAAACGTTTTAACCTTAACTTATATTTGCTAATCATAATGAATAGACCAACCTACAATCATCTATTTTATCTAACTATATTTCAATTAAAATGAAATAAAAACATAATTTTATAGACGTGCTCGAGTCGAGTACCCAACCTGGAATCATAAGTTCGCTAAACTGCGACGTGGAAAAAAATAAAATAAAAATAAAGTCGCTGCATTTTGAAATTGTGCCGCAGGCCTTCGGCCTTGACACGGTAATTATTTAACGACTGCTCTTCTTGAGTTGTTGGTGTACTTAAATTTGCGGCTCAGGTGTTTGGCCCAAAAACCCTATTTTTCRGCTCAAAAATGATACTATTTGCGCAGTTTAAATTTCTTTATCTTAAATGACAAACTTTGATTTAATGTAAGAACATCTTACTTCCAGTTGCAAGGCGCATTTTTTTTAAAGAAGTGGCCGAAAACGAACTTTTTATCAGCGCGGTTGACTCAGAATCGCCCGATTCTTTGTTAAGAAGCTCATTGTTTTCAAATTTGCCGCGCGCTTGAGTAATTAGATCATCACCGTATGTAAATTAGGCGGCGTCGACCAATATGTCCAGGCATTCTACGCCATGGGTCATGCGCAAACTAATTCTCTATGTGCTTTGATTATTGGACTTCACTTGCTTGACTAAACGATAAGATAGTGGTATTCATTGTTTATTATTCTTATAGACCCTGAAACAAATGCTGTTGCAATTGGATCACGAAAGAAATCTCAAGTTGGATGCTTTTGAAAGAGTTGAAGAACTACAGAGAACTGTAAGTATACCATGGTATGAAACTTTAAAGTTTTGAAATAAAAGTGCGCAAGGACAAAATCTAATTATCGAACTTAACTCTACTGWAATTATAAGTTTTAAAAATATGATTTTTCTTAGTGTCGTTGCTAGTCAAGATATTTAAGTTTGCCGACATGACACAGGGTAGTGCATAGAAGGAAGACCTATAAACGAGGACCACTAATATATATAATGCAATCATTAAAAAGTATTCATGTCATAGAAAAAAAAGCTATCAATTTTTACTTCTGGTGACGTAGGCAAACGGAAGTCAAAGCCCTAGCAGATACACAGATWGYCGYCAACCCAYAATCAAGYGATACCTCTTTTTGACCCTTATCCCATCTACCTCCAAAAAAATAACAAGTTGTTTCGATGTGAAAGTATATAACGTCATCGTGGGTGCTTCGTACAAAACATATTTCTTGCGTTAAATTTATTGGCATCATTTTTGTAGATATATGAATATGAGCAGCAAATTGGAGGGTGCTTATCGCGTCCCGTGTCTGGTTCATTGGAGAAACGACCATTTACCTCATGGCTACCAGTAGCAGATGCTGCTCCTCTCCCTCAAAGATCAGCATCAGTTATGAGTAACAAACCCTCAACAGGTACAAACAGGCACCCGGGAGGGAAAGTCTGGCCCACATCCTCGACTTTTCAATCTCGTTCCGTCACTTCACCAGATTTTGGTAAGTAGGAATGGCGCGGAACTGATTTATTCTTAGTAAGCGTCTCTGTTTCAAATGCCAGTTTTAAAATTGATAAAAGTGTGAATCTATTAATTTGAAATTCGTTTAACTCTTTTCCTTCCGAAGTCATCCTGTTTTTCTTTATTCTTATTAATAAGAATTTATTTATTCAGAAGAGTATTCTATATCATTAATAACACTCCATAACCCAAAACACTCCATAACAATTTGCTGTTTCTCTGTGGACTTAAAATTCAATCTTGACTCTTTATTATAATGTCTAACAACTGAAAACTGGACGGGTGTTCTAATTAATGCAATTTTGGAAAAATAGGATAAAGTAATACTGGCATGTATTGAAGGACAACTTCATTATTTTTAATAGTAGCATATTGTACTTTTTATGTGTATTTTTCTTTGGTTAAATTCTGTCATGATTTAAAGTACTGAAAGAGGTTCATCACTATGTTTATTTCTTATAGTGTCATCAATCACCACGCAACCAAAAATCCAAAGACCTAAAACGGTAGGATGACTGGAGGTTCTTCTTTAGATTAGATCAGAAACCACCCTATGATTTCATTTCTAATGGAATACAGTCATTTGACAAATACTGACCATGAACGTATAACCTTGCATCAGGTGCATCATGGGTAATTTTATGTTATTTTCGTTTCTTTTCTGAAAATAAATCAGACTTTTCAAAATTGCTTTTTTTTGGTGTTATCTAAACGTGTTCTGGCACAAAATAAAGTCAATACTTTTTTATTCAAAAATAGCTACTACCTACCTACTGATGTTTAATAAGGGAGCAGTTTTTAATCACATTTATCTTTCATGTTTCTTGTATCAGCTCCGTCCACGTCTACGAGAGAGGATAGCCGACACTTTACTTGGCGATCTAGAGACAGAACAGCAAGAGCGAAAACGAGTTCCTCATTTGTAATAGAGAAACTAAATATCATTCTCTCCAAACATTTTCAATTAGTAATCAGTAATGTCTACACGTCTGTGTCTGCCCTTAAGGTGGATCGATCGTCATCTGCAAAATGGCAAATCGGTTATTGATCGATCGTCATCTGCAAAATGGCAAATCGGTTATTGATCAGTGTCGACTCAAAACTTTGGCTTCTTTCAAGCAATTGAATTGAAAGTCCTTTTTCGATTTTTTTGCCATATTATTCACTATTCCGAGACTTCGGCTCCAAGGAATTTCTTAAAACTTGGCTAGATTGTATGTTATGTTTATGTAAACGGATCCTAAAATCTTCAAACAAAACTGACCAATTTTCTAAAAAATGGATTTTCTTGAGAACAGTGCATATTTATTTAGCATGTAAATTGCTGGCATACAGCCTTTTGCACAAATTATGAGACATTTTTATATATATAAATATACAGCCTTTTGCACAAATTATGAGACATTTTTATATATATAAATATACCTAACCAAATATCAAAAACACCCCAGAAATTATGGTACATCTCTATTATATTTTGTCATGATTGCCTAGCATCAGGTTGTTACAGACAAAATATCASCGACGGTATCCCATAATTTCTTGGGTGTTTTTGATATTTGGTTAGGTATATTTATATATATAAAAATGTCTCATAATTTGTGCAAAAGGCTGTAAATAACAATCCGAAGGTATATCATAATATATCATAGTACAGTAAGATATCATAGTGTATATATATAATGGTAATTGAGCTGAGTGGAGTGCAATTTGGTTTGAAATCAAACGCGCGATATGTAATTATATCCATTTTGAAATCCTAATAAAAAAAGACAGTGCTTATAAACAAATAACTGAATTTGTTAAAACCGGAACCGGAAAGTCTTTTACATCTCATTTACAATTCATAAACTGACAGGTCATGTCTCTTCACTTCGAGGAAAACTACGAACTTGACAAATTTCAAACGAGCAGTTCGTGTTCAAGTTTTATTTCAGTTTGAGTCCTCATAAGATTAAATTATGGAGGCCCTCTGTTTCTTCTGTAGCAAAGAAGATCTAAGAATTAAGTTGGATATTTTAACGTGTTTATTGACAAATTTGCGTAAAGCTGTCATCGGCGAGAATGACAAACGATGCCATGTGATTTTGAGAATTTCCTCGCCCCAGCGGGGGGGGGGAGGGGTTGAGTATTCTCCTATATTTGCTGGTCGTTCAGGACGGAATCATTTTCAAGGTAACAAGATGTGTAGTACCAATCTCTCTAAGACAGAACATCAAACAGAAGCTATACCGCTCACACTAAGCACTCAAGGATGTCMACGGCAAGAGAGGTAGTATATTGAATCAGGAGACAAACCGAGGAAATCTAAGCAAGGCTAAACCAACACAGTATTCACTACGGTGGCCCACAACTCTCACGACAAACTCAAAGTTATCACGGCAAACTCAAACCTTCTCAAGACAAAGTCGCTTGCGGGTTATCTATATGGTATATGTGGAAAAAGGTAAGCAGTTTTGTCTCAGATTGGTGAAAAATTCTGAGAATAAAACTTCATACACATCGCAAATATGGGTATAACTTCTTACACGTGTGGCATTTCATTGTAGAACTCCAAGCTGCAAAGGCGGAGTCTGACCATATGTTAAGTTCAGATAGTGAAACTGATTATGAGGATGAAGAGAATTGGATCGAAGAGACAGACATTAAGTATTACTTTTTCAGTGTGGGTACGAGTACARAGATATTGTATCTATGCTGTCTAAATACCACGGACATGAAATTAGTTACTACACCCTCTTTTTAAGAAATACAAAACGACGCGCGTGTCTCTGTCCTCTGATATAAACACGGTGGGAGTTCGAAAAATACGCGAGAAGCAAGCTTAGGAACACGAGCGTAGCGAGTGTTTCTCTTGCTTCTCGAGTGTTTTTAAACTCCCACGTGTTTATATCAGAGGACAGAGACACAAGCGGCCATCTTATATTTCTTTTATAAAATTTTTCGAGCGAAAAGCAAATTTTGCCGGTAAGCCACRTCTCTGTCCTCTGATATAAAAACGGTCGTCAGCCAATCAAATGATGCTCACYGCATCCAATCACTCACCAGCGAATTGAAGGATGGTGGTTTTACTATTCATTATTAACGCCTACTTTCAAACAGAAAAAAGGAGGCACACCCTCCTAAATTCCTCACCCTACCCCTGTCAACAGTCAATTACAGGTCGCTTATATGATTGAAACATCTAATCGCAAACGGAAGTCCATAATAATCTTATATATCATCAAATTTTGAAATTTAGGTTTGTTTTTTGTTTTTATTTATTTGAACTATACAAAACATATTTGCATATATTAAGAAAAATAAATTATTGCAACCTTTCTTCTGATGAGCCTAGTATAAAATTATCTAGATTTTTTTCAGTTTGAGAGTTTTATACCTTTTGCGAAACAATTCCATTTCTGAATTTGATAAAAAAAAACTTTACGTAAGAAATTTAATAATAAATTCATAGGGAAAAAGTTCAGACTAAGATGAATGAATCAAGAACTGAGATGTACACAAATAATGCAGAAAATACAAAAATGCKATTTTTACGGCGAGAATYGTAYTACTCRGCTACTTTTGAGTACAAGTATGCTGCTTCAAAATGAGCTTAAGACCATAGAAATCAAGCTATAACCAGGGATRCTYTGAAGCCAAGACTTCTTGTTTGTAWCTAATAAGTCGTCTTGTTTTCGTTTTAAATATCTTAGGTATTTGATTTCATCCCACAACATTCGATCACACGTTCTACGCAGAGCTGATGTGATATTTGGACGAATTATATACTTCCTCACACCWKTAACAACTTCGCTTTGGTTAGGTATATCTTGTTCTTGGAGGCAGGAATGACGCAAGAAGTAATTCCGAAATTGTAAGTTTCTAACCTCATCGTGGAAATGTTCATCTTGTTTGGAAAGAATTCCATAGAATACGTCTCTAAAATGCTCGTATAACCTGACATCGGCGTTACTCCACTGGCGTATCTTGTTCACTAAATCTGGTGTAAAATGTGTTCTTTTTTCAGAGTGTCTCCTTTCGTTAAGTTTAAAGTATAGCATGTCATTGAGATCCCAACACAAAAGTCGTTTGAGTAAAACTAGCGACTCATCAAATTGCTCCATCATCATTACAAGATGAAACTCAGAATCAAACCTCTTGATTATTTCGTTGATTTTAACATCATTTTCGAAATCCTTCGGTTCAAGACCCAAATCAAAAAACATACCGTCTCTAATAAGTTTTACTCTCTGGCTATGAATCCTGAGGTCCTGAGTTAGTAGATAGTTGATTAAAGCYTCTTTCGGATTGTCRAAAAATGTTTTCAAAGGATCAGAGTGATTTGAAAGTCCCAATAATTGACCAAAACCCATATAGGAGAAAGTGGACTCRAATTGCGTTACAGGGTCGCGCAGTATAGTTACGTAAACAGTGTCATTGGGCATTAGCTGGTCGAGAACTGGCCTGTTGTACCTGGAATGACTATTTAGTATGTTATARCTTGCATTGTCATATAATGCAATGTGATCCAGTTGTAATAGCCAGGGCCAACCCAGACGGTTTTGTTTTTCTCTTGGAAGTACAAACACCAAGTTATTGCGATCTCCATAGCGACTGAGAATATTCGTGACKGTGCTACTRCCAGTTTTATGYGTTTTCAGGAAAACGACGTTCTTTTTTGGTTTACACCTTAAAGAAAAACAATATATAAATTTGCATATGTGAGTAATGAATTTATATGATCCTCGCAGTTTAGATAATAAACTAAGCGATTATTAAGTATAGTTTAAAACACGAGAGAGTGTGTTATATCAGGCATAAAGATTCGAGCCGAAGGCGAGAATCTTTATGCCTGATAAAACACGATCTCAAGTGTTTTAAACGGCTTCAAAAACTCCAACACTAATTTGAAACTCAAATCCGTTAAAATTCTTGGAGAAATTGACGTACAAATATATTCAGAGATAAATGGGGCAAACTGATCATACGCGAATCACTTTACAAAGCACTCTTGTCATCCCACATTGAATACGCATAAAGTAAAATAGAACCGCTCTTAGCTGTCCACTGAAATCGGTTGACATCCTGCATTGGTCAGATCAAACTGAGACCTTTGCTAGGATCATGGACCTTTATATCTGATAAAGGTCACCCTTATTAGTATTCTTTATATAAAGAAGGACAGGCTCATTCTATTGGCCTAGTAGCTCATTAATTATGTATGAGTTTTTGAAGAAATGTATGGATCGCCCGCTTCATARCTCAGTATAGAGCACTGCAGCGGCATCGCACAGGTCATTGGTTCGCTTCTCGTTGAATCGCGAAATGTTTTCGGGCGATCCATACATTCCTGAATAACCGCTTAGATTATTATCTACAATGCGACGATCATATTCATTACACATTGATTCACCGCAGTTCGAACAAGCTTTGCATATGTCTTGTGTTCATGCTAGTAGAGTTTACGTACACGTA